AATCCACCAGAGCATTGTAAGACGCAAGCTGCTTGTCAGCTGAGTCTCTCTCTCTCTCTCTCCCTCTCTTGTTTCAGCAGCTCTCTGGGTCTCATCTCAACCCTCTGTCTATTCTCAAGTCCTCTCATCCTCTCACTTTCCTTCCCTCCTCCCCTTCTCTCCTCCCTCTCTCTCTCTCTCTCTCTCTCTTGCTGTGTGAACGAGCTGAGCTTGTCTCAGAGTAAAAATGCCATCGTGTTCGCCGGACTGTTGCTTGTATCTGGCTGTAGAGGTAAGACTGACGGAAACTACTTTTTTAGAGGAATACCACACACATCCTGCAGATGCTGGTTTAATAATATTTTAAATTATAGTTGTGCAAATATTTTTGTAATTAACAAAAAAGTATGTAGTTGCATTTGTGTATGAATGTGCATGTTCAGTTGTGCACACACAAGTTTTTAGTTTTGTGTACTCGATCACTGAAAGCATTTTCTCTTCCATTTCCGTCCGGGCCGTTGACTTTCACGTGAATCTCTCTTAATGGAGTATATCCTCTTGTGCGTGCGTGTTCAAGTCAGTCATGCTTATGAGCGCCGTGCTCCATCTAAACACGATAAGAGTCCATGTAGATTAAACGAAGGATCGCATAAACATTGAGATATGCTATAAAAAAACTTGAGCGACAAATGTAAACAAACTTTTGTTCCCTGTCAAGCATTGCTTTAACTCTTCAATAACTGAAAAGCGGAGCGTATGTTTAGCTTGGACGGTTTACACTGAACGGGCTGTCGAAATACAAGCCGCGTAATTATCTTGTCTGGAGTATTATGCCAGAGTGTGTCTGTAATTGTTTGACAAATTAAACTCATCCAGAACATTGCCTTGAGGTCATATTAAGCACTGTTCGCTTCGTAATTGACATTCTGCATGTGTATGTGTGTCTGTTTGTGTGTTCAACAGATTATCAAGGTTTTCAGCGAGGATGGTGTGGGAAAAGTTGTGGAAGTCACTGCTGGCATGATGGCCAGAGATGTGTGTCAGTTCCTGGTTTACAAGAGCCACTGCCTGGATGACAACTGCTGGTCACTAGTGGAGCATCATTCCTTGCTTGGTTTGGGTAAGACAAGTTTTTTATTCTGTGTCCATATGACTTGTGCGTGCGGCACACACCCAGTCCAGGAGGACAAGCTGTTCTGTCCGGGGACACTGGGTTCCCAGTGCGCTGCACTTTGTGTAACAGGAAATCACCTTTCAGCAAGCCCAGACTCTTATATACACACGCATACTTGTTTTATTAACGCTTAAGCTCTCAAATACGGCATTATACATCATGCACGGCTGCACGTTTTGCATGCACAACAGCTCACGAAGCGTCTAAACCCTGAAAGAGGAATAAAATCTTTGCAGTGCTGATGCTTTTGAGGAAATGAGCTTGGAGAGAGGACAGTCGTGAGGACACGTGTGGCTGCCTATTTCTCAGGCAGATTACAGATTAACCCCTTGTCTAAATCAAACTAAACAGATTTAACTCCGCCTGACCTTTAGAGATGCAGCCGTTGCACTGGAATGGTGTTAAAAATCCCACTTTTGAGCTTCTCAAATTATTCAGATTCACACAATCGACTCTTTATTTTGATTTGTGCACTTTTTTTTCTTCTTCTGGACTTTTGCATAGGCGCTTATTGTGCAGGTCACATGCTATGATGTCATCATTTTGCAGGGCGTGGTTGGTCTGTTTTGGTCAGCTGACATCTCTGAAGCATTATTTGGTGTGGTTGGATGTGTTGACCCCCCCATCGCTTCTGGAGACATTAGAGCGGCAACGTTATGGAAACCTTCTGGAAACGTTGCCGTTATGTAAGCCATTAGCAAGAGAGAGTCTGCTGACTTTGCTGCCATCAGCCTCTCGGTGCAATCAAGCTAAATACATGACCTCATCCCTCTGCAATGCCTCTCGCTTTCTCTTTCATACACAGTCATGCTCTCTCTCCTTCTCAGAGGAATGAATTAGTGGATGAGGGATCATATAGACAACTGATGCATTAGATGGGGTTTCAGCCAGGGCTTTGTCTTTTGCATACAAGTACAACTGCTAGTTCAACTAAGTATATATATATATATATATATATATATATATATATATATATATATATATATATATATATATATATATAATGTAGTGTGGGGTACTGAAATCATTTCATTTGACAATTTTGACAAAAAAACAAACAAACAAACATGTTCTTTTGTTGTTTAACTTGTAAAGTATGCTGATATGAGCAACAATAATGGGTTTATATAGAGAAAACACTTTGAATGCAAGATACCTCTAAATGTGTGAATTTAAATGTAGCATTAAAATTAGGGATGTCCCAATCAGTTTTTTTTTTTGCCCTCGAGTCTAAGTCATTTGACTTTGAGTATCTATCGAGATCGAAACCCGATCCAATACTTCTATAAAACATAAAAAAAGTATATAAAAGTTACAACTAAAACAGATCCAGGATGTTCCATTTTTTATTTTTTATTTAAATCACCTTATTCCAACACTCAACATCTCTGTTAACAAACAAAGCACTTCTGTGAGGTAGCTTGATAAATCAAGTAATAAATAACATCAATTCCTCACTTTTGGACTTTAGTGCAACAGTAAATAATTTTTAAAAAATAATATAAAACAAACAGCATGTCAACTAGCAAGTTTACATACCTCCAGACCATAGACATACTTGCACTTTCCGCTTCAAGCTGCTTCCGTGTTCTACTTAGCCGGCATTTAACCAATAGTGTCTCTGCAACCAAGTGATGTTATGCCGCACGCGTTGCTGTTTCTGTGTGAAGTCAAGAAAGAGGTCTAGTTCTGTGCCACCGCTAGGCATGGGATGATAACGGGTTACAAGGTATACTTTGGTTAGAAGGTTTGGAAGTCAAGGTTTTAAAACTGTCAAAGTTTTCTGCTATACCATTCCTAAATTGTATGCTTTTTATTTCTTTTTTTATATTTTTACGTTTTCCACATCTATTTTATTTTTATTTTTTACAGCAACAGTATCTTCAGCAGAAATGGAACCTCTACATCAAAAGCTACTGGTTTAAAATGTTTTATATGTTTCCTGAAATAAAATATATTATGTTTAATTAGGAGAACATTTTTTTTTTTAAGAATATTTTTGGAGCAGTAATCACAATATCGTGATATTTTTAGCCAAGGTTGTCATACCATCAGAATCCTATACCAGCCCATGCCTAGCCACCGCATAACTATAGATGTGTTAAAGATGTATATATGTGTCCTCCTGATCGGTGGGTAATGTCCGATTTCGATCGTGTCTGAAACAACGTGATCATGCCCGATTTCCCATCAAATGATTTGATCTAAACTTCCCTAATTTAAATATCTAACAACAAATTACTTAATTTTTCCTGAAATATTTTATTGGTTAAAAGCAGTTACTAGAGCAGAGATTCTTAAAACTCTTATTAGAGTAGCTAGATTAGTAGACTATTCGAGTAACTACAACACACACTCACACACACACACACACACACACACACACACACACACACACACACACACACACACACACACACGCAGAGATCTAAATATAACTAACTTTAACTATAAATCTTTAAATCTTTTTAGCTAAATGCTTCTGTCAAATGCATTAATTTAAATATACCTTTAAAACACTTTAAATTACAATATTTTCATACTGTAATATATAAAAAAAGATAACTTGAGGATAAATATTATGATTCTGTATTTAATGCATTATTATAATTTACACCATATCTTCCTTTTTGGAGATGGAGCTTAAGGGGGTCGCACACTGGATGTGCTGCTCAGAGACGTGCCATGCAGCATCATGCATTTTAGAATTCTAAACAAAGATTTCTATTAGGGTATGCACAGTCGGCAGACGTCCACAGCACCCAGCTAAGACTCAGAACACTGTTTATGTTTCTGCCGCATCACAGTGTTTCATTTTAATTAACATGCGAATGTGCGTGTCAGGTGTGCGTTACCTCCTACTGTCATATTGCTGTGGCGCATCCGGTGTGTGACCCGCTTTAGTGCAAAAGAAAGAAAGAAAGAGCTTATGGAAAGACTAAATTATTAAATAAATGAAAAGAAAGAAAGAAAAAGAAAGATTCCCCAGCTTCAAAGGTTACAACACATGTCATGATAAGAACTATTTTGCAAATAAAGATAAACTAACAGTGTTCTGATGTCATCTGTGTTTAAATTCAGAGAGGTGTCTGGAAGATCATGAGCTGGTGGTGTCGGTGAAGGCCTGCATGCCTCCAGAGAGCAAGTTCCTCTTCAGGAAGAACTACGCCAAGTATGAGTTCTTTAGAAACCCACTGGTAAGAGAAACAGCCTGTCCAATACAGCCCACCCATGCGTTTCTTTTAGGACCACCACTTCAAACCAAATCCACTGAAATTAAAGTCTGCTTATCCCCCAAAAATCCACTAAGAACACTTGAATCATGACTTGCAAGCTATAAATCCTTTAAGACAAGCCACTGCAGGTGAAGAAGGTAAAAGTATGAAGAGTTATCACCATACTTCTCACTTCTCCTGTTGATTGATTGATAGCATTAAGAATAGCAAACATACTTTGTAAAAAAGAAAAGAAAAGAAAAAACAACCTATCACTGTCAGTGTTGGGGAAAGTTACTTTGAAAGTAATGCACTACAGTTACTCCCCAAAAAGTAACTAGTTGCATTACTTGCGTTACGTTACTTTCTAGTTACTTTTTATTACCAGGCTGAGGCTTGATCTCTTTCAGAACTTTTTTTTTTTTTTTAACAAAGGAGTGCTTTAATAAACAACACACTTTACAACCTACACCTACATTTACCTTAAAATGATTACCACACATAAATAAATATTTTACGGTAATGTTATCTGAGAACTTCATGACCCCAGAGCTATACATGACGTATATACAGATTAATGAAAGTTTAAAGCAATGTGTTTGCTACTTTTATACTATTTGTATCAAGTAAAATCACTGTCCATTGAGACAATCCCTTTTTTTTCTCGATGCATTCAAAATAATGAAACATTCTCTCATTGACTCCATGATTCATTGTGACTACTTAATTTTTAATTCAGCAACTTATATTTGGAAAGCGAATTAATTAAACTAAAAAGTAACTCGCATTACATTTTCAGAAAAGTAGCTCAAATATTATTACTTTTTTTTTTAAAGTAACACATTACTTTACTCGTTAGTTAGAAAAGTAATATTATTACATAACTTGTGTTACTTGTAATGCATTACCCCAAACACACTGTCCATACTATTTGTTTTTGTTTCTACAATGGATGTCACTGACTGTTTTTTTTTTTCTACTAACATTCTTCAAAATAACTTTTTTTTGTGCTCAAAAGATGAAATATATTTTATAAGTGCCAATTTAGGTTGAGAAAATGGTAAAGGAATTCTCATTTGTGGGTGAATTGTTCCCAAAATAATTGTGCTTAATAGTGCACTAATTTGTATACATTTCTGGCCTAATCACTCACATTTAAATGTCTTGTTTTAATTTAGGTTATTATCACTGCATAAATTAGAAAATACTGTAAACAGCCAGAAAAAAATTTGTTTAGACTTTTAAGTATATACTAGTCATATTAAGTATAAACAAGTGCACCATAAAAATCTTCAGAATACAGATATTAATACAACTGAACTTGGTGTAAGTCCTGTTGAAGTGCAGATTTGTGGCTCCATACAACAGAAAATAAAATAATTGTAAGAAAAAAGACCTTACAAATGTGTATCTCACACTTTTAATTGCAAAGAAACACTTAAGTGTATTACTTTGGATAATTTCTGTACATTACACTGAAAAGCCAAATTTAAAACTTAGCTTTAAACCAAGGTTTGGTTAGTTAATCCTAGTCAATATATCTACTAGCATAAACAAAAAATAAACACTACATTTATTAGTATTTGTTTAACCTTGTTCACGTTAGTTATTGGAAAAAAATGTTGTTCATTGTTGGTTTGTGTTAATTCACAGTGCAATAACTAATGTTAAAAATCACGAGTTTGGTATTTAATAATGCTTTAGTAAATTTAGTAAAGAAGTATGATTCTTAATAAATGCTGTTCACATTTTGTTCATTATTAGTTCATGTTTGCAAATACATTAACAATAAATAATGAAACCTTATTGTAAAATGTGACCAACAAAACATTTCATAAAAATAGCCATGCATTCCTGCTTTCGATATGTTGCAAAAACCCTAGTTATTTAATTTCCGGCCGTTCAAGTACAGCTTGTATATATAGTTATAAGTCAGAATTATTATTATTGAAGTCAGAATTATTAGCCCCCCTGAATTATTAACATCCCTGTTTATTTTTTTCCCCAATTTCTGTTCAATAGAGGGAAGATTGTTTCAGCACATTTCTAAGCATAATAGTTTTAAAAACCTATTTCTAATAACTGATTTAATTTATCTTTGCCATGATGATAATAAATAATTATTGACTAGATATTTTACAAGACACTTCTATACAGCTTAAAGTGACATTTAAAGGCTTCACTAGGTTAATAAGGTGAACTAGGCAGGTTAGGGTAATTAGGCAAGTTATTCTATAACAATGGTTTGTTCTGTAGACTGTCAAAAAAAAATAGCTTAAAGGGGCTAAAAGTTGTGTCCCAAATATAGTTAAAAAAAAATCAAAACTGTTTTTATTCTAGCCAAAATAAAACAAATAAGACTTTTTCTAGAGGAAAAGTATTATCAGACATACTGTGAAAATTTCCTTGCTCTGTCAAACATAATTTGGGAAATATTTAAAAAAGAAAAAAAAATCAAAAGGGGGCTAATAATTCTGACTTCAACTGTGTGTGTATATATATACACTCCACATAGACTCCATCTTTTAACTGACAGCATTCCGACAACTATATTTGAACCTTTGTCATATAAGCGCCTTACAGTGTGAACGCTGTGAAACATTTTATCCTGCTCTCTAAGCCACGGACGTTTTATGCGCTTAGAAAAAATGTTCATGCAAAGCTTAATCTGATTTGAGCCCGTGCTTTAGTACGGTATGTACTGTGTGTGTGTGCTAGCATTTGAACAGTCTGTGGGCGGTTAGTCCGAGTCTATTTGACAGAACACTTAACCTGCTCTTGGTAATCCCTGGCTTTGGAAAATGCTCTGCACAACTCACCTAAATTAGCTTTAGATAGGTTTCAGCTTATGCCAGTTTGAATTTCTGAATTCTTTGGTGAAGATGCTTTAACTTACTGGTGGTAAATCAACAAAATAAATTGTTGATTAGTGTGATTAGCTGGTTTACATTTATTATTGATCTAAAAATCATAGATAGTGTGTTTCAATTGTTTGATTCATTGATGCTGTATTAGTCAAATTTTAGATTTACAGGTCAAATTTTAATTCAGAAGTAATGTAAATCAGGATTGCCATAAACAAAGCACCTTAATATATTTTAGTGTCATTTCACAAGAAATACTTGAAATTTAAAAGGGTCATTTAACAAATAACTCATGCAGTTTTTTTCATAAATAGTTTGAATTGGTTTTTATTTTTAGATTTTGTGTTTTTGTTTTAATTTCAGTTTTGTTTCTTTTTCATTATTATTATTATTATTGTTGTTGTTGTTGTTGTTATTATTATTAATATTATATGTATTTATTTATGTATTTTGTATTTATTTCTTAATTTTTTTCTTATACGTCTTCATATTATTATTATTATTATTATTATTATTATAGTGTAAACAAATATCAATAGCCAATAATTCAGAGTGAAATCTGCTTACACTGGCACTGAATGTTCTGCCATTTTAACCTTCTTTTAAATTTCAAATAATCCACTTACGTATTCCGGGTCCAAGTGCTATATACAACTGTATGGGGAGGTTAAACAAATGTTAAAAATATATGTTTACTAAGCGATGTATTACTTTAGAAAATCACGATCGCAAATATATATCCATGCCTAATATCCGATGGCCAGAAAGTGATGAATTTTTTTTCATAAATTCTAGAATAGAATTGTTCAATCAACAAACAATTGGTGTTTCCTTTCTGAAAGAATCTGCATTTTGAACAAATCAATTGAACTGATGATTCAGTGGGTCATTGGTATAAACTACTCATTACTTTCATTGCTAAATGAGTCATTTGATTGAATGCAATGAAAAAAGTACTTCAATTCAATTCATGTTATTTATATAGCACTTTTACAATGTAAATTGTGGCAAAGCAGCTTAACATAGAAGTTCTAGTTAATTGAAATGGTGTCAGTCCAGCTTTCAAAGTTGAAGTTCAGTTCAGTTTAGTCCAAACACTGGACAGCAAATCCATAGTATAAATCCAATGTGCATTTGCTACACCAACTGGTGGTTTTAGTTTCAGTAACACTTGACAACACAGAACATGTGGTTAATTTTAATTAATATATTTAATTTAATTAATAAACAAACAAAGAACAATAGATTTATTAAAGTATTCATGTTTGTTAATGTTTGGTAAACATTAAAATACCTTTGTTCATTGTTAGGTTGTGTTAACTCGCTAATGTCAACAAGCACAGCCTTGAATTTTTAATAATTGATAATTTTAGTAAATGTTGAACTATGATTAATAATTGCTGTACTAAATTGCTCTTCTAAATTATCTTTAGAAGTTTATTTCACATCATAAAGACTTATGGGGGTAATTTCCAAGTGAAATTTAACATACAATTAATTAGGTTAAAAATGATAATGGGTCGATAGTTTGATATAGCACTAATTTAAAGTTTGTTCAATCTAACTTGAATAAGGATACATTTTCATATTGGCCCTGTAAATTGAAAAGGTAAAACTAAACTATACTTTAACTAAAGGTGGCTTTTTGTTACTAATCCTGTTAAAATTCCATCAAACAATAATAATAGTTTTTTTTGTTTGATGGAACAGAATGAGTTGGCATATGTTCAGTGCAGACAGTCTTTTTCTTACCTCTCCTCTCTCCTCCACTCCCAGAACTTCTTTCCGGAGCAGATGGTGGCTTGGTGTCAGGAATCGAATGGCTCTATCCCACAGTCCCAGCTTTTACAGGTGAGAATAGCACGCAAATACATCTGTGACACAGCAAAATCTGGATTAGCCTACATTGTCACCCGCGTGCGTCACTCTTTGCATGACTGTGTGTTTGTCGAATGAGCAAAGTGGATTCAAACGGCTTTTGAAATGCATACTCATGCCTTGTGATAGCAGAAACGCTGCGTTATTGAAGCATGGTAGGCATCCAGGTTTGAAGAACTCATTTTCCAGATGGTCTTTTTTTTCTCCCCTCCTGCATAGAATTTCTTGAATTCCAGCAGCTGTCCAGAGATCCAGGGCTTCCTTTATATGAAAGAGACGGGCCGCAAGTCCTGGAAGAAGCTCTACATGTTCCTGCGTCGTTCTGGACTCTACTACTCCACTAAAGGAATGTCAAAGGCAAGATTTGCTTCAATCTTTTGTGATATTAATTCATAACTCTTGCATTTAGTTTATGAGCATATCAGTGCTTTTTAGAGCAGCACATGTGTGTTTGCAGAAAAGTGTTACTAGTGAAAAATGTTTGACATTAAAAATGTAAACCTCTGATTCATAAACTTACAACTGATATTAAAGTTTTATGATTGTGTAAAAACAGTGTAAAATAAATTATTAGAAATATATCATTCTGCCCTGTTTCAAGTCCATTCATGTTAGGGAATTATAATACATGCTTGTATTGTCCAATTTGAGACCCACTTTATATTGTATGTGTATCAGGCAGTGATCATCACTGATTTTTAAAGAATACAGACCCTAAACGTGGCGATTTTATAATGGAAAGACAGCCCTGGGGCTGGCTGTTTAAAAAATTAAAAGTCTGTGTGCATATACCCCATTTCAGAACCTCACACGGCTGTTAGCCAATTTGATTTTTGAACCATATGGAACTATTATATAAATAAAAAAAATAAATACATAATATATATATATATATATATATATATATATATATATATATATATATATAATTAATTTCACCCTAAATAAAGAACTATATAGATAAGAGTACAATATAAAACAACACAATGCAACATCGTTAAAATGATTTGAACAATGTGTGTCGAACTATTATTGTTAACTAAGGCAATAAAACCATTTATGTTTTTGTTATTGGAAAGAAAATAGTCAAATTTATGATAACATTAATGATGAAATAATTTGGAATGATGAAATGATTTGGCAATAATTAAAAAAAAAATTCATCATCCAAAATTTCACATTTTGACTTTTGTTTTGGCTTAAAAATGTATGTCAGGATAACCATTTCACTATTCACTGCAGTCATTATATTGGACTGTCTGTGTAAGTTCGGAGTTATAATGAAGTTATAATTGTGTTTTAGGAACCAAGGCACCTGCAATTACTGTCAGACTTGGAGGAGAGCAATATCTTTACTGTGACGACAGGCAGAAAGATGCACAATGCGCCCACAGACTACCAATTCTGCATTAAGGTGAGCTGGACCACGGTCAGTAAATGAACAAAATCATAGACTGAGAATAGAGGAGGCATGGCTGGCGCTAATTCCAACTCAATGATACCCCTGTCTAAATAACAACCCATGCCTCTCCTGGTACAGTGCATGCTAGTCCTTATTAACTGGAGTGCCTTGATTTGACAGTAGATCTCTTTGATTGACAGCCCAGTAAGGGCAGGACTGAGCTGAAGGAGTTGAAGATGCTTTGTGCCGAGGACGAGCAGAGCCGCACATGCTGGATGACTGCTTTTAGACTGCTCAAGGTAGACTGATAAAACATGATGATACATTATTACAACATATGAGGTCCTCCAGTTTCTCATTATTTATAGCTTTTTAAATATTTTTATAAAATTCATTCCTTCCCTCACCAATGTTAATAATAAATAAGTAAATGCATCTAAATAATAATAAATTAATAAATTTAAGAGTTTAAATTAACAGCATGGATAACAAGGAAGTATTTTAAGTATTTAATGACATGTATTTGAAATAAAATTAAATTCTTTGTAAGCCCTATAAATGTCTTTACTGTCGATTTTATAAAATTTCACCTTTTTTAATTATTAACATTTATTAATTAATTTGAAAAGAAATAAATACATAAAATAACCCAGACAAATAAATAAATAAATAAATAAATAAATAAATAAATAAAATAATCCAGAGCAATAAATGATTACATAAATAAATAGCACAGAAAATAAATACATAAATAAATAAATAAATAAAATTATCTAATAGGTTTATACTAGCAGACTTTACTTGAAATAAAATTTCTTGTAGCATTATAAATGTCTTTTTTTAAATGTCTAAAAAAGATAAAAAAAATAAATAAAATAACCCAGAGCAATAAATAATTACATAAATAAATAGCCCAGAAAATAAATAAATACATTTTATTTTTATTCATTTAAATGTTATTTAAATGTATTTTTTCTGTATTGATTTGAAATAAAATAGAATTTCTTGTAGCCTTGTTTTTCTTGTAAATGTCTTTACTGACTATTTTAATCAGCTTAACTTTAAAAATTATTAAAATATATTAATTAATTTGAAGAGAAATGGATAAATAAAATAGCCCAGACAAATAAATAAATAAATAAATTAATCAATTAATTAACTAATAAATAAAATTATTGAATAGGTTTAGATTAGCAAATTTATTTGAAATACATTTTTTGTAGCACTATAAATGTCTTTACTGACTATTTTAATCAGTTCATGAGTCCTTGATTTTTAAAAAAATATTTATTAATTAACTAGAAGATAAATAAATAATTAAATAAATAAAATAACCCAGACCAGTAAATAAAAAAACAAATAAAGAAAAAGAATTTCTTGTAGACCTTGTTTTTACTAAGTTTCATGAGTCCTTAATTTATTTTAATCATTAAAATGTATTGATTAATTTGAAGAAAAATAAATGAATGCATAAAATAACCCAGACAAAGAAATAAATAAACAATTGGGTTTAGACTAGCAGCATTTATTTGAAATAACAAAAAAAAATTTACAGCCTATAAATGTCTTTACTGACTATTTTATCAGTTTTATGAGTACTTGTTTTTTTAATGATTAAAATGTATTAATTAATTTAAAGAAAAATAAATAAATAACCCATACCTCTTTTTGAAGTGCCTAACAAAATTGTAATATAATCTGCCATTTGTTGTGAGCTTTATTTATTGTATTTTTTTCTTTTTTTCTTGGAGACAATATTATGAAACAGAATTAGTACTAACACTACACAAATATAAAACAGATATTTTTTATTTCAACATTATTGACATGTTTAAAATGTAATTTTTAGGTAGGTAAAGCATTTTATTAAATGTTAATTATACAATAAATTAAATTATTCAAAGTAAAAAAAACTAATAATAAAAATGATACGGTCTGTAAGTGTGCCATTTGTGGGTTTATTTCTTCAAAAGCTTATTTTAATTTGCATAATGTTTTTTTTTCTCTTCCATTTAAAATGTTGCTAGAAAAAAATACAACAGCAACTAATAATTATAGATATCTATAAGTAAAGCAAGTATTGGCTTCACAAGCTTATTTCAAAATGCAAAAAAAGGGTATTTTTAGAGGATAGTAAAAGTTTAAATATTAATATTCTAATAACAATACTATTAATATAATAGGAAATTAAATATAAATAAAAATGTGAATTTATTTATTTATTTTTTTTTGTTGAATTCTTACCCCACACCACATACACACACACTTGTCCATTCTTGTTAATCCACACAAACACACTCTTCTCTTTTCAGTTTGGAATTCTGCTATATCAGAACTACAAGACCCCCCACCAGAGGAAGACCATATCAAACTTCACCACACCTGTGGTAAGAAACATGGTGCTCTTTCAGCCAGTGCAGTCAATGGGTTAAATGTGCTGCTCTGTTCATGCTTCTATGAGTCCACCTGGTATTATATGCTCCCGGTGCGCTCTTTAGGAACGCTCTTGCTGAGAGTTCACTTAATCTGCTCATAAGCGTATGAACAGTGTGCTAATGAAGCGTGCGAATATAGATTCCTTTACGCTGATTTGCTTTGCGAACATTCATGCAGGGAAAATGCACGAACACAGTGGTTGCTGTACGATTTAATTTAAGCCTTTAGTGGTTTTGCTGATCAGAGTAAGCTGTTTTTAGGAACAGCGTGTAGGTTTTGTTTATAGATTTCAAGGCTTTTTAAACAGTTTTTTATCCCAAAGTAAAGGTGAAATATGCTCCTGGTTTAACCATTTCCATTGTGAAAAGGCTTTTTTAATGTCTTTAGGTTTTTCTAGTCCTGAAATAATCCCTGTGCTTTTAACAATTGATCAAGTGTAATACTGTATTTATGGGACTCTTTACAGTGAAATGTCTCAATATTATATTCAGTTAAAAACATTAGTAAGGAAAAATGCCATGGAAGTCAATTTGCTATTGGTTTTAATGTATTCCAATTTGTTTCCAACTATCAAACTGTTTTTTTTCAAGGATCTGGTCTCACTTTTCTTCTCTGATTGGTCAGATGGCCCATTCTGTTCTACCCATTGTCTTAAAGGAACACTCAAACAGGCTCTTTGAACAATTATTTTGAAACCATGTTCAAAATATTTCAAACCAAAGTGAATAACTGTCTCACGCAAGTGTGTGCCACACGAGTGCTTTTAAGTGAAGGTCCCAGCCTTTAGATCGTCCCCTGCAGGCTGGCTGCAGTACAAGTCATAAAGCCAGCCTCCTCGTTGTTAATTAACGAAAATGGGCCCAAAAAAAAAAAAATTAAATACACTTGCAATAAAAAGTCCCGATAGATGGTTTGGGTCAGTTAAGACACGTTATCAGCTGATATAGGTGTAGATCTTCATTTTGTAAAAAGTTTGTTTTTACCCAGTAATTTAATTCCATAAATACGGGGTGTGTCACCATGGTTGACAGATCGTCGGCGCTTCGGGAGGAAATTGAAGTGTTATTATTCGATTTCTGTGTTATTTTACCATGATAAAACGAGTTCAGCAGTAAACTATACTTTCTTACCTACTGGATCTGTTGGATCACTGTTTATTCTGTGAGGGTTTTGTCAGGCTTTATTATTAGTTTGCTGATACACGCCTAGTAATGACAGGAAAAATGCATGTGATCTATATCTAGCAGTAATTCTCTTTATGGGTCTAAAATATATTAGGAAGACAAAACTAATGTTAGCCTATCTGCACATTGATCTTCTGTAATGTTATTTGGACTTTATTTAAAGTACGTCTCTGACATTTTGAGTTTCGGCATGTTGTTGAGTTAGTCTGCTGAATTTGCTGTAATAAAATATTAATGTTCTAGAAACCAAATCTTGTATTACAAACGGAACTGTAAATGTTATATATTATTTATATACATCATTTTCCGTTGGCTTTTTATTTGAACCTCTAATAAACATTAAAATGAATGTCAATTCCTGTTTGCCAGATAAAATTAAGGCATCAAATAAACCAAATGAAAATGAAGGCAAAAAAAGATGAACAATATACAAGCGATGTTGCTGCAGCTTATAGACATCAGTTGATGTAATACTGTGAAGTATATTGTACAAATTGACAAGGATCATTTCATGTAATGCAGGGATGTGTAAATATCCTGTTGATATTTGAAATCGTGCTGTATATATATATTTTAAACGCATAATTTTTCCCACATGGTAAATCGTTAGGTGTTGTTCATAAGTGTTATTTCTATCCCTATGAAGATAATAAATACCAACAACCTGTTATAAGAGAAGTAATTTTTGTGTATGCTAAGCTAAGCTAAAAGTGCTTCTGTCAGACCAGGATATTGGCTGAATATATTCAAAAAAAGGTAAAACTTAACAGTTTAACTTTAAGTGGAGTTTTAAAATGAGCATATTCCCCTCAAAAATGTGTAGTGTTCCTTTAAACAAAATGCTTGTTACCATATTTAAATTGCAGGTCTAAAGCCTTCCTTAGCATTTTATTATAAATGACTTGTTTCCTTTGAGCAGTAGGGTTTAGTACAGTATGTTACTTTATGCATCTACTTTCATTTCCACTGTAAGCAGTATCTAAATAGCAAGTCATATTGTACTATTGTTGGCACCCTTTCTTAACAATGCCTCACAGAACAGTACAGAACCAATAGTGTGCATTAAAAAAATGATGTTTGTTCAAAGTACTTATTCAAAATGAGAACAACACAAGTTTTTTGCGACAACTTAGTTATTATATGTACAATCCACTTGAATTTGTCAAAACTAACAAGTTAACTTAATCGATTGTGTGGAACCACAGTTTGAATTCTTTTTTTTGTGTTTAGAAAGTTGTTAAAACACTATTGTTGAGTTTTGATTTTGTTATTTGAGCTAAATAAAATGCAAAAACTATAAATTTGTGGCATATTAAGATATATCGTGGTATAATATGTTTGTCTCCCTTCAACTGCTATCTTTTTTTACCCATCTATGATGACTTACACTGCTGAGAAACCCAGACAAATGGTTGAAAGGGTCTGTTTGTTTCCAAAAAATTGTCACTAGATCACAACTTTTTGTCATATGCCATTTCTACTAAGTAAGTGTACTGCTGTCAGTGGAAAAGCTTAGCCCATACTGAATCATAATGTCCTGTACTGTACTGTACTAAACGGTATCATGATACAAACAGTAATATATCTCTGTTTTCCTGTATTAAGGAATGAGGCAATATCCCTTACCCACAACATGATCCAGACATTGCAGGCCATCAGCAGCACAACTACATTATTAAAGGGTCAAAGTACGCATTGTTTGCAGTTAATCAATGAAAAGCCATAGACTGACATCATACAATTTTTTTTTCCGAAGCCTGTGTAAGTTTGTGCAAGAAGTTAGATTGGAATTACTGATGACCTTTTTCAGACAATCAGTTGCTTCTTTTGGGAGATTGTAACTATATTGATCTTAGCAAACAGCCGCATTACTCGTTAACATGAAAGTTAATGTTCAAACAAGAAAAATAGAGGCATTTTAAAGGGGTAGTTTAACCATATATAACAATTACCTCCCCATTTTCACACACTAAACTTTTTGAATTTCATTCTACTGTTGAACACAAAACAAGATATTCTAAATAATGTTGGAAAGAAATAGCTGTTAATATCCATAGTAGGAACAAAAAATACTATAGATGTCAAATGGCTGTTTTTTTATAACGTTCTTTACCATACATCTTCCGTTCAATGGATAAAAGAAGCTTAAACAGGTTCGGAACAAGTGTAGGGTTGAGTAAATGACAACAGCATTTTCATTTTTGTGAGGATTATCCCTTTGATCTAATTTGAACAAACAAAGTGTGTATTCTAAAGTGGGACTGTTTTGATTACAGCGGAGTGTGTCCGAGAACTCGCTGGTTGCGATGGACTTTTCTGGAAGGACTGGTCGCGTGATTGACAACCCTGTAGAGGCTCAGAGCGCTGCCATGGAGGAGGGACACACTTGGAGAGTGAGTGCTAAGATACTCAGGTTTAATAGTCTGCCAGTCATTAAGTCATTTTATGAATTTCTTATACTTTTTTAAATGTCTGTACAGAAGCGGAGTCAGAGAATGAATGTTTTGGGAAGCCCCAGCCCTTTACATCCCTCGCCATTAAGTTCAGGTGACTGTTCTTTATTTAATTTAACTAATTTAATTTAGTTTTTTGAATATGTGGCATTAGGCAAGATGCTGCAGATGAATATGTTTAAGTTGTTGATTCATTTGCATATATTTCTAGCACCTAATTCTGAACCTTGGTTAATGTCAGAATTCTTGTTTCATTGTTAGACATATCAAAGGCAATGGTTTTAAATGCAGGGGATTTTAGGGTGCTTTCACACTTAGATGTTTGTTTCGATGTTTGTTTGCCCCCTTAGCTTAGTTCGTTTGGGCATATATGAATCATGCAATCGTGCTCTGATCCACAGCAAAACAATCAGTCTGAGACTGCCTGAATGAGATGGTTTCGGCTCGGTTGAAACAAACTCTGGAGTGGTTTGGTTGTAGTGACAAAGCAATATGATCCAATGAACCAACAAACCAGTCTATATCGCATTGTATTTTGGTTATGTAATGGGCATAGCCTACATATGGCTATGAGAAAAGTGAATAATGAGGAAGATGGGATGTCAAGTGCATTTCCTGTAAGGATGCTGTTTAGCTATATAAAATATATAATACCAACACAATTTCTGATATAGAATAGGTAAAAAATTTTTAAAACCTTGGGCAATTGAACTGAGGCTATGTATGAGAGTTTTATCTCTGATTTATATTTAGTGACTGTTTGTATGTGTCATAATTCAAAATTAAAGTGCCCTATATCACTAATTGTCTTATTTCTCATCGTTATAAATTAGTATAACGATGGCAGCTTTGTGTGAGTGAAATCCCGTAAAATTACCAAACTCTGACCGATATGAGTAGAGTTTTCTCACACGTGACTTGTTTTAATAATTTTGGTCATTGGATCTTTAATGTGTGAAACCAAACCGCACCAGGAACAAACAGCAACTGTAACAATTTGAATCCTTAATTTGACACAAAACAATCAATCTACAGGTGTGAAAGCACCCTTAGATTTATCTCTTATTTATCACTTATTTATTCAGAACTGTTTCATAAATCGTAGCAGTGCGATATAGCTGTATATCTGCACTAATGGAAGGTGTGCGTTGGCTTGAGGCTGCAAGCCGAGTGCCCACCACTGCCAATATACAGCCATATTTACTACGAGCAAATGTATCTGCTACGAGTGTGAAATTCCATTTATACAACTGTTTGACAGCATAATCGTGTGTATAAAAAAAGAAAATCAAACACAGGCTCTCAAAAACCCTTTGTATGAGGAAATGGTTTCTTCCTGCATTCCTTCACATCTGCAGCTGACGTCAGAACAGCAGAAACCTTTGCCAGTTCACAAACATCCCTTTAGAGCTAGTATTTGAATGATTCTCTAGCATAGTGACTAAAGTGAAAAAACAGGTAATTTTTGCTCACATTTTAAGATTATAAGACTGAACGGCATGAAATGCCATCAATCAACAGAGATTTACCAGTATTTCTCTGTTGCAATCGGGATTTCACAATAATTAACCCCGAAAAATCCAGAGCAAAGCAAACACTACCAGTTTCTGTGGTATAAATATACACCACTACAAAATACAAAAGAGAGAGATCGACTCGGAATGTGGCTTGATGTATAATGATTTGTTCAGCTGTAATTTGAAATTTATGCTGAGAAAATTTAGTTTTTCTCCCCTAGGGACTTAATATGCATCAACCATCGCTTTCTTTGGTCTGCTCAGACAGGCTGATGGCAGCCGTTTTACTGAATCCAATGCTTCAAAATTATGAATATTTAAAATAGGCACTATCCTTATAAATAAACTGCAGAGTTGCGATGTAAACTTCATTCAAGACTAAAAAAAGCCTCAAAAGTACATTGTTGTCCAGCAGCAGCAATATTTAATATTGACAAACTGTAGAGTGTCCTCTGCTTTTTGCTGTATGTGGGAGAAGTAATACAAAAACAAGTACACGAAAAAAGTGTTTTTGGCTGCAGTATCTTGTCATAATTGACTATTCGCTAAGCCCCACCCTCCTTAGTTACTGTTTCTATGCCTGTCAAGCTTTCATGCTTTTTCTATCACAATGTGTATGCATCAGTGACAGATATTGCCAGGGATATAATTAGTCATTTTTGGCAAACGGTTGAGATATCCAAGAAAGCCAGACAAAAAAGAACTGCAGTATGCATTACAGGGGTATATTCACCACTCAATAGGTAACCGATTATTTTTATTATAATTATAATTTAATCAAAATTGGAGCTAGCTTAGCCTAGCAGACTCATACGCTGACCATTCAACAGCTTAGTTCATGCACAGCAGGATAGGTGACATTTAAAAATAATCTAATAGTAACTAATTAAACCGTGATTTCTCTTTTTTTTTTTAGCAAAAAGCCTGATAGATTAATTGTTATGCAATGACATATCGTGTTACTGACCAACGAGGAAGCACGCATGGACAGTGCTTTTACATAATTCATTCATAGAAAGAGCAGCAAGAAAGGGGAAACTGATGAACTTGTGCCGAATATTAGCCTCATTGACCCATAACAATGTACAGTACCTATTAGTGTCAGTTTGTTTGTGTGCTCTTTATCTAGTTTCTATTCGAATTTGCAGTTAAGTGGAATTGATAAATTAATAAATAAATTGAAATGCAAATCAAAGTATAAATAACAGAAGTGAACAAATACATTTTCCCTACCGGCAAATATAAATCCGCTGCCAAATATAAAAGCATTTCATAACAATTTCAAAACAAAAACAACGTAACTCCTCTCCTCTAGCGCCCCTCACACAGCTTGATCCAAGCTGGCTTTCTCCCCTTTGGTTTTTGGTTTTGAAAAGGGAAAAAATTCCACCACCTTGTACAAACTTTAAGGATACCGGGTATCAGATTTGCACAATCTATGTGCACAACGCTTTGGCGTGTTTCCCTCACTTGAAAACTTGACAGAGCCCCTGCGCGTAGCTACGGTTGCTAAGCCACGATTGGTAAGTGGTGATTTTTAGGTATGGCTTAGCGAAGGGTCAATTGGCAATTACAACATTTTTTTCCATTAATTTGCTTTTTGTGTTTGTTCTCAGTGATCCACAGGACACAGTTATGGTTCCACGGCCGCATTATGAGAGAGGAATCCCACAGGATGATTATGCAGCAAGGCCAGGTTGATGGGTATGGTATTTTTCACATTGATAAGCATTATTAACTGCTGTTTTGAAAGAGGACAGTGCAATTAATCAGAGTGTTTTGTCTTGTAGGTTATTCCTGTTGAGAGACAGCCAGAGCAACCCAAAAGCATTCGTTCTCACTCTTTGCCATCATCAGAAGATTAAACACTTCCAGATTTTACCTGTGAGTCACTAATAAACTCTGATTTCAAATCCTTTTTATGCATGTGTTAATATTTAGAAGAGTATTTTGAGTAAACTGCAGTTTTCTAAATGTTATACATATTTAACCGATTATCTGACAGTGATTGAGAGAGGTACACTATCTGACAAAAGTCTTGTTGTCGATCCCAAGAGCAACAGATAATAACTTGACTTCTAGTTGATCATTTGGAAAAGTGGCAGAAGGCAGATTTTTCTAATGAATCATCTGTTGAACTTCCTCCCAATCATCACAAATACTGTCTCCTCTCCACCAGTTAGCTGGTGTGTGGTGTGCTGTCTGGTGCAATATGGCTGCCATTGCGTCATCCAGGTGGATGCTGCACAATGGTAGTGGTTGAGGGGATTCCCCCAATAATGTGTAAATCGTTTTGAATGTCTAAAAAAACACTATATAAATGTAAGGAATTATTATTATTATTACTGCAGAAGACCTATTGGAACCAGCATAGACCTAAGATACTTACAGAAATCAGTCAAGTTTGGTGAAGGTAAAAATCATGGTTTGGGGTTACATTTAGTATGGGGGCATGCAAGGGATCTGTAGAGTGAATGGCAACATCAACAGCCTGAGATATCAAGACATTTGTGAGCCCATTACATTACAAACCACAGGAGAGGGCAAATTCTTCAACAGGATAGTGCTCCTTTTCGTACTTCCACCTCCATGTAGAAGTTCCTGAAAGCGAAGAAGGTCAAGGTGCTCCAGAATTTGCCAGCCCAGTCACCAGACATGAACATTATTGAGCATGTCTGGGGTAAAATGGAGGAGGCATTGAAGATCCAATGAATCTTGATGAACTCTGGGAGTCTTGCAGGAACACTTTCTTTGCCATTCCAGATGACTTTATTAATAAGTTATTTGAGTCATTGCAGAGATGTATGGATGTAGTCGTCTAAGCTCATGGGAGTCATACACAATTGAATTATTATACTTAATTATTATACTTTTTTATATTCTATACTGTACAGTAGTTCTGTTCGGTGACAAGACTTTGTCTCAAAGTCAGACCTTACTGTCCTAATTAAATGATTTAAAATCAAGGCATAATCATGTTTTATTTTGGTAAAATAAGCATAATTTAGAGGCCTTTGAGTTTTATATAAGCCACTTCTGATATCAAATGATCAACTAGAAGTCAAGTTATTATTTGTTGCTCCTAAAACTTGGATAACTTGGATAAAAATTTGTAGTGTACATGAAAAAGATGGGTTGATTTTTTTTTTCTATCAAGAGCAAATTTATCCAGGTTTAATGATGTATTTTGCTAGTAAATTTATGAAGTCTAAAAACTAGGACTGTCAAATGATAAAAAAAATGTACGTAATCAATCACACTTTTTTTGTAATTAATCATGATTAATCATCACCAAACATAATTAATCATGATTAATCACCAAACGCCATATTTATTACAGAAATAAAAGCACAGGCATTAAATGCCATTTAAATTTCAAAACAATCAATGCCAATAACAAAAAGGATTTCCACATTGGATTCTAAGTGGACTACACACACACACACACACACACACACACACACACGCATAGTACAGCGGACCCGATGAGTGAGGGATCCCTTCAGATTCATCAAAACGCACAATTGCGTTTATCAAATTTGCTAAAACTATACGCTCTAAAGTATGGCTGTCTTTTACAAACAAGGATTCGGACACAGCAACGTGAAACTTATGAAATGTGAAGGCTCATGGACGCACCTTAAAGGCAGAGGAATGGGCTGTCACACTGCCAGTTAAATGTGACCTAATTTCAATTTTTTGCTCATATGTGACACAGATCGGATCTGTTCTATGACCGGGTAAACACGGAAAAAAAACCCGCATGCATTTGGACATTCAGAGATCAGTTTTAGGCCTCCTTCATATGTGGAAATAAATCAGATATAGATTGTATGTGTGACAATGCGACTGTCATGTAAACAGGCAGATTGGATTTATTGAGGCATTTCGTTCTGTACATCATTAAACTTGCGACAATGTGGTGCTTCTCCGCGGTTTAATGACGTAGGAGGAAGAGCGTGTGTGGAGATGCCAATCCGGTAAACAACATCAGAGGAAAAACGGAGGAGGAAAGTGGTGAGTCGCCACCATTTGCTCCCACCAGACCTGAAATCTCTCTCGCACGCACAAATTCCTCTGAATGGTGGAGGACATCATTAAAGCATATAAACCATAAGCGTAAGCTGCGATGACGGCCCTTTCCCACCTCCGCCTCAAAATCATTTTAAAGTTGGGCAAACTTCATGTTGGAACGTTTGCTTTTGGTCACTATTAATACACATAGAACAACTTTATTCTCTCCAACACCAGTGCGAACACAGGCAAAATCTTCAACTACACACACACACACACACACACACTGTTATCTGGGCCGAGTATGGCCCACAGCTCGCTCCCGTACATGATGCGGCTGTAAAGCACTTGTCTGAATTCTGTTAACCGTATCTGGCCCAAGTCTGTGTGTAGAGTCCGGCCCGCTTCTGGCAAGGACTCGGATTGTTTAACTGATGACAACCGATTAAATTAATATTTTATAGTAATTTGTTAGCTCCACATTTAATGATAATTTGAGAAAATATCCATAATATGACAGCAACAAAATAATAAGACTATTTTGTGTAGATGGTCGCAATCTTTAGACGCAAACAAAACCATATTATTTATAAATGGATTATACAGTACATATCATCATGACACAGGTACTAGAACCCGCCTTTACGCATGCGCGATATTGTAAATTGTATGGCAAGTGTAAACGCATGAATTGGATACGGGTCACAATTAAAACAACGTGTAAATAGGCAAACAAATCAGATATAGGCACAAAATTGGAATTGGGCATCAAGACCTGACCTTTGACAGCCTTTGACAGCTTGCGACTTCATCTGCCATTTTCACAAAGTAGGCCTACATTTACATGGACACCAAAACTCCGCTTTTGTGATTAAGATAATACTGATTAAGAGTCTACCATGTAAGCAGTGATTTTTGATTACCTTAAAGGATCATGCGAGTCCTGAAATGTGGAGGTTTTTCTTTCCGTTCTCCATGCGGTATCAAATTCCATTAAAACATCCTGAATGAAAATCTGCTGAATGAGAGTGAACTGCTGAAAAAGTCTAAAGATTAAACGCAGAATAGCCTGGTGATGCGACATCAATTGTTTTATACTGAAATGTACCTTCTAAAAGCGCGTCCTTGGTCTTATCCAAATGTCTTTGCACGTTAAACACACGCACGCAGGGCCAGAACAAGCTGAACTGACGCTCTAGGCAAACTACAATCATGCCGCCCTTAACCCTGAAGTGAAAAATAAAAGTGATCTTTTTGCTGATAAAAGCGAGGACCGTGAGGGAGAGGGACGGTGTAGCTGATAAAATTGAAGACCAGGGGGGTTCGCTTACTATTCTGCTGCCCAAGGCGCACCACACCGTTCCTCAACACATGTCGGCCACATCAGGAAATAAAAAAATACTGCACTTGCGTTATTTGCGTTACTTTTTTTAACACCTTAAATATTTAAAATTAATCGCATGAGTTAACGCGATAATTTTGACACTCCTACTAAAAACACTTTTTTAACTACATGATTTGAGCCCTGATTTGTTAAAAAAAAAAAAAAAAAAAAACATCAAAGCAGAATATTAGAAACAGTTTTTGCATTAAACCTTTATTTATACCTCATCAGGGATTAAACTAATTATATTGATTTAATCATTTTAATTATTATTGCTGTAATTGCTACATAGATGTGTAATTGAATATGTAAGTCTTTGTATTTGTATATTAATTTATAAATTAAGTTAATATAGATTGATATTTATTCAATCTTTATATAATATAAATTAATATGTTAATTAGTAGCGTTATTACTGAAAATTCTGAAAAAAAATTTGACTTTTAAATTATATTCATATATTATTGTATTCATTATTTTATTATAAATATCAAGTACAATAATAATAATAATAGTACTGATTTAATATTAATAACTGTAAATTTCAGCATTTTCTTGTCTGTTTTTGCAGTTTGAGGAGGATGGCCAGGTGTTTTTTAGCCTTGACGACGGCTCTACCAAGTTCACCGACCTGATCCACCTGGTAGAGTTTTACCAGCTCAACAGGGGGATCCTGCCCTGCAAACTCAAACACCCCTGCACCGTGGTGGCCTTATGACCCCTCCTCCTGAAACCTGCAAGCAACACACACATACACAGATGTAACTGAAAAACTGGATTTTTCTTTCTTTTCTTTCTTTCTTTTTTTTTTGTTAAATTTCTGTTTTCTTTCTTATTTCACAAATAAGCTGACGCAACCCACGGGCATGAAAACCATTCATTCTCACAGCTCTGGGATTAGCACGGAAACTTTTGGGAATAATTATGGGACAACTTTCCAGGATGCCCTGTCCTTTGGTTTTGACAAGGGTGCCTGTGTTTTTTTTTGTTTGTTTGTTTGTTTGTTTGTTTGTTTTGTTTTTCAACAGTCTCTATGGTGATTATCATAAGCTTTCAATGAATTCAAGATGACTTCATCATTCAGGACATGACACTAAACACTCCCCTTCCCCTATAAACTGATCAGATCGGGACAGTCATTTCGTGTGGTGTGTCTGCAAGGACTTGCAATTGCAAAAAGTTACTTGATGACGATTGATATGTATTATGTTATTTCCTACCTGAACATTTTGCACTCTCGAGCTGAACACAGGTGATCCGCTTCATCCTGAGCTTACCGCGACAACTGTTACCCATTTGCCTTCCTCCTACCGTTCACCTTTGTTTCATTTTGTCAATGATAGGATTAGTACAGTGGAAATTGCAGTTATAACCATTTGAGGTGACACTTCCTCGGTAACAGCCAAAAAAATACACAAAAACCCGGTTTTTAATACATCACAGCTAGGAGAGACTAGCCAAAAGGGGTAGCAGACTTGCACTTCAAAAAAAAAAAAAAAATGATACTTGATCGCTTTATGCTTTACCAGCATAAGAGTTAGTTACGTTTGGAGTTCTAATCAAGCTTTGCCTTAAAGGAATGTTCTGGGTTAAATATAACTTAAACTCCGTCGACATTACCGGTCGCATGCTGTTGATTGAAAAAGAACATGAAAAGAGCATCAACAGCTCCAAGCTAATAATCTAAAGTTTATATGAGGTTAAAAAAAAACTTGCTTTGTATGTGGATTTCAATTCAATATATTAGATATTCAGTTACTTTCAGACAAACAAGTGTTTCTGTCGTAGCTTAAAGGGACAGTTCATAAAAATTGTTGTAATTTGTCAAAAATGGTAATTTTACAAAAATTTACTTGGGACACAAACGAAGATACTTTGAAGAATGTTGTCTTCAACAAGCAAAACATGAATCTATTGACTTTTTAAAACCATTTTTGGTCAAATTTTGAAATTTATATATGGTAAATATATTAAAATATATTTATATTGAGTTCCACAAATAAGTCATACAGATTTGCAACTACATGAGGGTAAGAATTTAGTTTTTATTGTAAACTTGTTTTTTTTTTATGTGCGATTTAACTCAGAAATTAGTATTAGAATTTACTTCACAAAGGTTAACAATCCATAATCACAATCTGTTCATTCCTAATTATTGATAATTATGCACATCACTATCACTTGTCTATTTAGAAACAAATATGGCCTGTTTGAATCCACTGAATTGCAATAGTATATATACATATCAGGAGGCACATGCTTTGATCCTGGTGTAATTGATTGTTTATAGTTTATATTCGTAGCCATTAATAACTTGACTCGGGCCTTAAAGGGCCACTGAAACTTGACCCCGGCCTCTTCAGTATGGCAAATCCCACCCTGAGCACAATTTAAGAGGGTTATTATTTGTTTCCAGGTCGTGTTACTTTGCGAACGTACCTAGCTATTAGAAGCTTAACAACTGCCTTTTCAAATCACTGTGCTGTTCTTGAGCCATGTTAAAACCCTAAAAGTGACAGGCCAGGCCCAGATTGAGCGCCTGAAGGGACGCGGGATTGCACTCACACATACACACACACACACACACACAGGCTGGAGGACTTTGCGAAGTCACGTCTCCCAGGCGTGTCTGTAATCCTCCGAGGCTGCGTGACATAATGCGGTGAGGAGATTATCTCTTCTGCCAGCTTTGCAGTAAAAGCGGGTGTACGGTTACCTGCAACGCTGCTTCAGCAGTCTCCTGTCTGTCCTGACGTCCGCCTTGTTACTCTTCCAACACTGGCCCAGCAAGACTAAGCTATGGTTTTATATGCTAACTCTGACAGTTGACTGTTATACTGCTGAGCTAGAACCACACGCGCCTAGGACGAGAGTGTGTACGATGCACACTGCGATTGTCAAACACTTTATGATACCACACAAGCACCTTTTTTTAAAATTTCGCATACGATTCACGCTGTTTAACTTATGTGAAACGCTTTATTCATCTCAGATGTTAGCTACGACATATGCCTTATTTTACGTTATTGCTTCGTTATCGCTTCATACATAAATCATTTGTTAATTGTTATGAAAAGTACAAGCTTTACGCATTCAGCATCAGGGATTGCGGTTGGCTTTTTTATCACATTGTTTAGGTTTGAAGGAACACTCCACTTTGGAAACAGGCTTATTTTACAAGTCCCTTAGGGCTAAACAGTTGAGTGTTAGTGTTTTTGAATGCATTCAGACGAGCTCTGCATCTGGCAGGATCACTTTTAGCTTAGCATAGCATAAGTCATTGAATCAGATTAGACCATTAGCATCACACTCAAAAAATGTTTTTAATTTTTTTATTCAAAGCATGACTATTCTGCAGTTGCGCGGTGAACTAAGATGTAAAATAAAAATGTAATAGATTGATTTGAGCTATACTCACATATACTCTCATTCCAGCGTAATAATCAAGGGACTTTGTTGCCATACCATAGCCATATCAGCCTAGAAAATAGAAACTTTTCCTTTTCCGTTGGACTTAGTATACGGTATAGAGTCAAGGTTTAAATAGAAAAATTATCAAATTCTGAGAGGCTAATGGTCGAATCCAAATCAATGATTTATGCTAAGCTAAGCTAAAAGTGCTCCTGGCAGTCCCAGACATCAGATGAACAAATTCAGAAATGGTAAAAGACAACTGTTTAACTCTAGCGGCCTATTTCCAAAAAAGTGGAGTGTTCCTTTACGTCACAATTTACAGTCTGCAAGTTAGACAAGGATGCCTGAATACGAAGTATATTCTAACTGGAATACGCAAGTGTGAAAGCGGATTCGCTCCGTCCAAATCAAGCTCAGTCAAAGGGTTTGGATGATGCTTATTTTCATCAGACTTGTGCTGTTGTGTGGCTCACATTTTATGACACGCCAAACGTGCATGTGAAATATTACCTTCCCTTCCATGCATTGTACCGTTTTGTGAAATTGGTGACTGTAGAGATTATTTCATCTGTGTGTTTGGCTCATATGCAGCTTTGTCTATTAGAAACATGCAAACAGTCACGCTCTTTTTAAGTATGTGAAGCCTAAAGAGAGGTAGTAGATCTAACACTGTATTAAACACCATCTATTACTATATAAATGTGGTGCGCTCCAAAACAGAATGAAGATGTTGTGCATAAAGTGCATATTATGCATATTCCCTCTCAACATGTACCAGTGTGAAATATTTTTAGCTTATATCGTGTTTTCATTTTTATGTCACAAATGTCTTTTTATAAAGAGTATATATTACAGTATTAAATTAAGGATGTCTACTGTTGTCTTTTCTCACTATTGATATGTCAAAATGTTTTTTTTTTCTTAGATTATAGATATATTTCTTTAGATTATTCATACTACACATTAAAAGAAAATTGGCTAACATCTGCATTACAAAATATGAATTTGAAACTTATATGTTATAGATACATTTTATTACATACATTATTAATTGTAACTGATTATTTTACAGCACTAATTATTTAAAGACAAACCCTCTAGTTTTCATTTAGTTCTGTGCATTTAGTTCTGACCTCTGCTGTAGTTTATAGTATAAACTAAAATCTGTCAATGCTTTGCAAGTTAAAGAGTAAAATTGGGCTCGTCCGGGATTTGAACCCGGGACCTCTCGCACCCTAAGCGAGAATCATACCCCTAGACCAACGAGCCTTGAAAATTGAAGGTTTTACAGTCTGCCACGTTGCACATGGACCACAGGACCAAGCATTAAAAACGTTGTAAGTTTGTGGTGTTTATTTTGGTGGAATCTGGCTCCATCTGGTGGCAGAATTATGCACATACTGATGTCAGCTTATTGAGTTTATAATTTTCTGAATATGGCACAAATTTATCTTTATATTGTGCTGATATGGCAACTAGTAAATACCATTTACTTTGATATGCTAGAATGTCTGAAAATATTTAAACCATTTATAGCCTACAGCTAACCGCAAACCTTAGTAAATTTTCTGAACGTTTAAACTAGTGCTTAAATACAAACGCTATTGTATCGTACAGTATTTCCTTTTTTAAACATAAATAATTACTATGGGACTACCTTAAATGTTAAGTTCGACACAAACATTAAAAAACATTAAATTATGTTTCTGTTAGAATGTTAATCCACATGTTATTCACATCCCCCTGGCCCTGTGACCTTTGTTCATCTTTGGAACACATTAAGATATTGGAGATAAAATTTTAATTTGTGTTCCGAACATGGACAAATATCTCAGGGAACATAAGGGTGAGCAATTTAACATGTTTTTTGGGGGTTGTAGACTTTTAAAACCGATAGAGATATCTTAATGCTCTTGTCCAGGGCCCGGTTTTTCAAAAGTAATCCACTAAGATTTTGGATAAAGGATCAAATCTTGAAAATGGGTTTTTCAAAAGAAAAAACGGATTACCTAATCGGATTAGATCACGTAATCTAGTCTTGGTTTTGATATGGATCAAACCTTTACTTTGGGTTTTCAGACCTTTTTTGTAGGATTTGGATCACTTTGATCTAAAAAAACTGGATTAAACTGATCCCATCAGAAGGGTGGATTTAGTGTGGATTTCATGACCAAAATGTAATAAAAACTTAAAAAATGTATTAAATAATACTACTTTTGGATCATGCAGTATCTTACGAGATGTACTATTTATTCATAAGGTTTTAATTATATTTGTTCATCTGTCAGGCTATAGTGATTATTGGCTTCAACGTATTTAGCCTTTCAGTATAGGCCTACAGCAAAGTAGAAATAGCTTGGCCTCATAAAAAAATCCCCCAAACAGCTGTCAAAATTGACCAAAAACAATACATTTTATTCTGTCAATAATTGATATATACATTCAACACAATGGAAATAATTTTTTGTTTTTAAAATATTTATTAGTGATGCATGCAATGATTACAGAGATGGCAATCACTGATTTTTGAAATCACCTTCAACAATTGCAAAAAGTGACTGGTCAGAAGCACTGCTTCATCTGGCAGAGGAACAACTGACTCTGACCACACTGCAACAAACCAAGGCCAGACTTGAGATTTGCTCAGACAAGCTGCTCTCTCCACATCAGATGAGGAAGTTTGAACTTATTGTTGAATTTTTAACATTAAGTCTTTTTTTTTTTAAATTTACATCTATATTTGAAACTTATTATAAATACCTCAATGTACCGTGTTTGTGTTGTAGGTCTCAGATGAGCGGACTGCTGGTAGAGGATGGGGTGGTGTTTTTATTGTTTTTAGATTTTTTTTTTTCAAATGTGTGTTTTCATTAAAAAAAAAAAATAAAGTTATATTGACCCCACACTGGCTATTCTACTTGTTGCTCTTTACATAGGCCTATCTATCCATCTACATTGTGATTGAGCACTGGTAAAACCAGATTTAGTGATCCTGAAAGGTCCTATCCGAATCAGATTGACCCAATCCAATGTTGCTTTGAAAAACTGGCTCAAAAAGTAAGCTGGATTACGTGATCAGGATTACT